CGTGATGTGGAGATCGAAGGTGTGGTCACCGAAGCGAGTCTGACCGCCGAGATTTTGGAGAAGCAGGCGGTTGGCCGTTTCAAGAACCGTTTGCTTCTCCCGGTGAAGATACTGAATGTCCAAAAACTGGGCTCAGTATCTGTCAGCGAGTTCTACCCCCACAGACTCGTTCCGTGTGACCTTTTCTGGTTCAGCCCTTCCTCACTACATCGAGCTGGGAAAACTTCGACTACCTGTGCGCTTGTTCGTTCCCCGGGTCATGAACTGCCAAAACTGTAAGCAGTTGGGACATACGGCGTCCCACTGTGGCAGCGAGGCACGCTGTTCCAAATGCGGGGAGAAGCACGAGGATGGCGCCTGCACAGTCACTGCACCAAAATGCGTGTACTGTAAGGGAACTCCTCATGGTCTCTCGTCGTGCCCGGCGTACAAACAACGCGGGGAGAAATTACAACGCTCACTCAAGGAACGTTCCCGGCAGTCTTTTGCGGAAATGCTTAAGACGGCCACGCCATCGACCAACGACAAAAATCCATTCTCTCATTTGTCAGATGGCGAGACTGACTCTGACTTGGCTGAGGAGGGAACTTTTTTCCGTTTTTCTGCACGGAAACGAAAACGCATCCGTTCACGGAAAGTTGACAATGAAGAACCCCAAATCAGCTTGCCCAAATCAAGGATGGTGGAAAAAAAGAGACTTCTACTCCTCCTGAGTGCCGTAGAACTGACTATACCCAGGATTTTCCACCTGTCCCGGGGACATCCAAAACCCCTGATGTCCCATTTTTAAGAACAGAAGCCCCTTCTCCATCTGGGTTGTTCTCATTTGATAAAATTGTGGACGATATCCTCAAGTACCTCAATATTTCTGATCCTCTCAAATCATTGTTCTGGCAATGCTTCCTTCTGTGAAGATTCTCTTGAAGCAGTTGACATTGAAGTGGCCCCTCCTTGCAGCAATCATTTCCTTCGATGGATAATTTACCAAACGAGGTCGGGGATTTGATCATTGTTCTACAGTGGAATTGCCGAAGCCTTATTCCAAAATTAGACTCTTTTAAGTTTTTAGTTCACAATAATGATTGTGATGCATTTGCTGTTTGTGAAACTTGGCTCTCTTCAGACATCGATCTTCCTTTTTATGATTTTAACATTATTCGACTGGATCGTGAGGATTCGCGTGGAGGAGGGGTACTTTTGGGGATCAAAAAGTGCCATTCCTTCTATAGAGTGAATCTTCCACAATTTCCAGGTATTGAAGTTGTCGCATGTCAGGCTATTATTAAAGGTAAGAGCCTTTGTATTGCTTCTGTTTATATTCCTCCTAGAGCCATTGTTAATCGCAAACAACTTTCAGATATCTGTTCGATACTTCCTGCTCCACGGTTGTTTATGGGAGATTTGAATTCTCACGGTACAGGCTGGGGGGAACTGTATGATGACAACCGTTCTACTTTGATATATGACCTCTGCGACAGCTTTAAAATGACAATTCTTAACAATGGAGAGGTAACACGTTTTGCTGGCCCATCCTCAAATGGAAGTAGATTAGACCTCACACTTTGCTCTAACTCATTATCGTTGGATTGCACGTGGAATGTGATCCAAGATCCCCACGGTAGTGATCACTTGCCGATCATAATTTCGATTGCCAGTGGGTTCAATCCGTCGGAATCCGTTAACGTCGCGTACGACCTCACCCGTAATATCGATTGGACAACGTTCAAGACCGCGATAGAGGAAGCCGTGTTGTCGGTAGAAGGGCTTCCACCGTTGGAGGAATATAACTTCATCTCCAATCTTATCTTGGACAGCGCGCTTCGAGCTCAAGCTCGGCCGGTTCCTGGAACGACTTTCCGTAGGAAACCTCCTACCCCTTGGTGGGACCAGCAATGCACTGAGGTTTATCGTAAAAAGTCCGACGCGTTTAAGCTTTTCCGGAAACGTGGAACACCCGTGAATTTCGAAGGGTACTCTTCTCTTGAACGCGACATCAAGAGCCTCATCAAAGCCAAGAAACGCGGATACTGGTGGCAATTCGTGGACGGATTATCGCGCGAAACGTCGATGAATACGCTTCGGAACGCGGCGCGAAGGATGCGTAACCGGTCTTCGAACAACGAGAGCGAGGAGTACTCAGATCGTTGGATTCTCAAGATCGCGCGAAAAAGTATGTCCGGATTCCATGCCGGCACAGATGATTCCTCGCGAAACGACGAATTCGGTAGACGAGATCAGCCAGCCTTTTTCAATGCTGGAACTCTCACTCGCACTCCTTTCGTGTGGCAATTCGGCTCCGGGGGCTGATAGAATCAAGTTCAACTTGTTGAAGAACCTCCCAGACGTCGCTAAGAGGCGCATGTTGAACTTGTTTTGTCAGTTCCTGGAGCTCAATATTGTTCCGGATGATTGGAGGCAAGTGAGAGTTATAGCCATTAAAAAGCCTGGAAGATCCGCTTCAGATCATAACTCGTATCGTCCCATCGCGATGTTATCGTGCATTCGAAAATTGTTGGAGAAAATGATCCTTTTTCGCTTGGACAAATGGGTTGAGACGAACCACCTACTCTCAGATACTCAATTTGGTTTCCGTAGGGGCAAGGGAACGAACGACTGTCTCGAATTGCTTTCCACAAAAATTCAGTTGGCTTTTGCTAGAAAAGAGCAAATGGCTTCTGTCTTCTTGGATATCAAGGGGGCTTTTGATTCAGTATCGGTTGAAGTCCTTTCAGACAAACTCCACGCTTGTGGCCTTTCTCCATTAATAAATAACTTTTTGTACAACTTGCTGTCAGAGAAACATATGACCTTTTCTCATGGAAACTCGACAGCTTCTCGATTTAGTTACATGAGTCTCCCCCAGGGCTCATGTTTAATTCCCCTTTTGTATAATTTCTACGTCAGAGAAATTGACAACTGTCTAAGTGACAACTGCACGTTGAGACAACTTGCAGATGATGGCGTAGTGTCTATGACAGGGCCCAAAGGGGTCAACCTGCAAGGACCCTTACAGGATACCTTAGACAATTTGTCTACTTGGGCTATTCAGCTAGGTATCGAATTATCCACGGAGAAAACTGAGTTGGTCGTTTTTTTCTAGGAAGCATAGCCCAGCACAACCAAAGCTTCAACTTTTGGGTAAACCGATCACTCATTCTATGTCCTTCAAATATCTTGGGGTCTGGTTCGATTCAAAATGCACCTGGAGATCCCACATTGAGTATCTGAGACGAAAATGCCAACAAAGGATCAATTTTCTCCGAACAATTACCGGAACGTGGTGGGGAGCACATCCGCAAGATCTTCTAACGTTGTACCGGACAACGATTTTATCGGTTTTAGAATACGGTAGTTTTTGTTTCCAGTCGGCGGCTCAAACTCACATCATCAAACTGGAACGTATCCAGTATCGTTGTCTTCGTATCGCGTTAGGATGCATGCACTCGACTCATATGATGAGTCTAGAAGTGTTGGCGGGCATGTTGCCACTATCGGATCGGTTTTCGGAACTGTCCCTCAGGCTCCTCACCCGTTGCGAAGTTATGAACCCACTGGTAATCGAAAACTTTGAAAAGCTTCTTGAGCTGAACCCTCAAACTCGTTTTAGGTCATTGTACTACCTGTACATAACACTGGATGTCAGCCCTTCACAGCATAATCTTCATCGTGTATGCTTCTCCGACTTCGGCAATTCAGTTAGTTTTGATTTAACTATGACGCGGGAGATTCGTGGGATCTCAGAACATCGTCGTTCCATGATTGTTCCGTCATTATATACTGCAAAGTTTGGCCAAGTTGATTCCGCAAGATCGTTCTTCACTTCATTTAAGAATATTAACCTTAGATTGTAAGTTTGACTAACCTTGTGTTTAGTTTTTGTTTTGTTCGTGTGGGTTTTTTTTTAAATGTTTGTTTCTGTAATAATTGTATAATTACACTGTGGATACCAAATTGAATAGGAATAAGTTCATGTTTTAGGAATAATGAAATATTTGTATCGTAAATCATAACTCAAACCTCGTCCTCCCTCTCCCCATCCATAAAACTGTAAATCTCCACTAACCTCGAGACGACAGCGAGTAATCGGTTCAATTCCTTTAACTCTAGCTTTAAGACATCTATTATGTACATATAACGCATATGATAACTTGGCTCTGGGAAGTTTTTACGATTGAGCCTGTACAAATAAATTAATATTAAAAAAAGAAATGGCGGATGATACAAAGTTGAAAGATAAAAGTCTTTTTTCAAGTTTTTTTTTAGCACAGTCGAGTCAAACAAATTGATTTTTGCTATTTGACCTCGAACTGCTCTTTTTGCCTTGTGAAAGTTCATCTCAGTTTGCTGATCTAAGCTGAGCTCACAGCCTTCGCTTCGAATTTTGCTCGGGAATAAATCAAAAACACTCAGGAATAGTCTCCTCTGTACATCAAGACGTGAAAATTTGTCGCATTCATGCATCAAATTTTCATTTCAAGAAACTGCACTGAACAATGTACCACTTTCGCTGTTTGTATGTTTACATCTAACTAAATTTAATTAATCTGCTCTCTGCGTTAGGCACAAACAAAGTTGAATAACGCCTCCGTCGGTCGTCGTACAAAGCAAACATCACTGAAAACTTTATCGTTTCTTCACTGCAGCAGGTGCTGCAGTTACAGCATGAACGGCTTTTCATTAGTTTAGTAAATCCCGCATAACTCAAGTCGTATATCTGTAGTTTTAGAACTCAAGCAACAATGCTGGAAATCAGTTCCACTTTGTAGCAAAACATTGCATCCCGCAAGGAAACATAAAATCCACATTTCGAGCGAGCCGTCCATTTCCATTCCATTATACGACCGAAAAACGACCCAACGCGGCATTTTCGGCATACCAGTGCGATTCAAACCATTCCAGCCCTAAGCCACCACCGTCAACGGCATCCAACCGACAATCCGTACTCTAACCGAAAAGTATTTTTCCACTGACTGTCCCATTTTTATCCGTTTCTTTCGCAGGCATTCATAAACAACCGCCCGGCAGTCTCGACCAAAAATCCATCGGACCGGAATTGAATTCCAGTACCGTTCATGAAGCCCAGAACGACACCCACCCAAATACCGAACATGTGACAACACGGAGTCATATTTTCCCGCCCGGTCTCATGTTGCATAAAAATTTCCGAACCACCAAAACCGATGTAAGTTTGCGGACTGTGTAGTATGCACATGAAATGTCCTTATAAAATATGCACAGCCATTGTGAAATTTACATCGATTTGATGAGGGTGGAAAAAATCTAGCAGTGGCATCCAAGTGAAGTGACTCGAGAGAAAAACTTTTTCAACCTGGAAAGCTAAACGTAAGTGCGTTTTTTTTTTTGGTGTCGTCCAAGCTCACAATTCGGAACGGATTTACGGAATAATTGAACCACGAACGTACACATTCTATTGGGTTCATTTTCGAAGTGTGCCGATATAGCGTGGAATTGAGTGAACCCACAGAAGTGAGCAGCAAAAAAAATACTAAATCGGATAGTGTACAAAGAGCTGTGGTGCGGTTTTTTTTTCGATTGACAATTTGAAATTGAACCGGGGAAAAATTTGTGAACAAACGCGGAAAAAATGAGTATTGCTTCCGCCGTTGGAATCGATAAGAACAATTTGGTCACGTGCCATTTGTTAGGGCGATAGAAATCCCCTCCCCGCTTATTCATCGACTCAATCCAATCTTGCGAAGCACTTTGGTTAAACTACAACCAAAAAAAAAACAAATCGTTTGTTATAATCGACAAATCGTGCCAAGTGTTGCGGTAGGAACCAACGAACGCGGAATCGATTGGGAGGGTGATGGCCGATCCTCATGTCGGGGACCGGTAATGTTTCCCAACCGCATCCACTCAGTGTACAATGCGGGCCCACGATGGGCCAACAATCATTAACGACCACCAGCACCACTGGCGGAACCAAGAGCAGGAGTTTATACGAAGAAAACGGAATTATCGTCGTTTCTGCTGTCCTCGCAGCTGGCGGGCATTCGTTTGGCTGTTGATTGCGGCTGTGGTAGGATTGGCAGTTCCGGCCGGTGCTGGACCGAGGTATAGCTCACGGATCGTCGAAACTAAGTCCGGTGCGATTCGGGGTGTGATTCTGGAGCTGAATTCGAAGTATCTGGAGCCGGTTGAGGTGAGCAAAGCAGTGCACGAACCTGTGGGACAGTTTCAAATTAACGTCGTCTTATTTCTCTGTATTCTACAGGTGTTTAAAGCAGTTCCATACGCGGCTCCGCCAGTCGCAAGCCTACGGTTCGAGGCACCAAAAAAGCTACCTCCTTGGAAAGGAACCAAGCTGGCCGATACGTTCGGGCCTGTTTGTCCGCAGGTGAGAATAAAGTTTTGATGTTATATCCAACCCCCGATAATCAGGCCTATCATGGTGGCTACTCTTGGTAACTCTACAAGTAGCCAGCTCCGAAAATGTATTATTATTATTATTCCTATTATTTTGTTTAATCAACATTAGCAGGGCGCAGAAACAATGATTTTCATGCGCTAATTTTAGAAAAGCTGCACCCGGCACCGCACAGTGGGGAAAAATCGACCCAAAATCCCACTTAATTAGACAGCGCACGGTAGGAGTTTTGCAAAATAGCCTATCTTATGTGAAAAAAAAATTGGAGAATCAATTGGTGATGGTCCCGTTTAGGGTTGACTTCAGGAAGTGGTCTATTTTGCCCGATTTACCCCTAATGTTGGAAGAAAAATATAATTATCATACAGAAACTGAACTTGGTGCGCTTAGATTGAGCCAACGTAATCTTTATCCCTGTAAAAAGAGCTGGGAAGTTGATTGGAGCTAGTTTACTTTGATCAGACGTCCATAAGTGCTCCATTTAACCCGATTTCCCCTTGGCCTATAAAAACAAGATTAAACACTCGGAAAGCAGAATTTGATGGACAAAATATTGAACTTTATGCACTTAACTATTGCACAATTATCCAAGGAATCGAATGCTTTTCGAATGATTCTGCGGAAATTTTTACATAAGTATAGTGCAAGTGCCTGTAATATAAATGACGCCAATCTATAAAACCACAATAATATATGAGTTTGTTCAAGTTTGAGGTAAATATAGGGTGAAATGGGGTTTTATAGTGGTTGAAAGTTTCTGCTGCCTAACTTCCTCCGGAACATCAAACTTGTGCTGGGCGGTGAAGAACAGTAGCCCCGGCAGCTGCCGGAAGTCCGCCTTGACGTATGTAAAGGGTGATACGGTCAAAATTTGGTCAAGGGAAAACGCGTGTAAATCGATGAAATCGTTTATTTAAAAAATCAAATTAAATTTCTTTTTCAAGTTCAATTAGTATAAAATTCAGGAAAAATATTCAGTAAGGCTTCCGCTTTTCCAAATCCGAATTGCCGGGCCTTACGCTTGACCCCTGCCATCAGATTTTGTACAGCCACCTTGTCCACCTTCTTCGCCGCAGAAAGCCAGTTTGCCTTGAACTGCTGCTCGCCCTTAGCAGTTTTTTTGGTCTTCTTTAGGTTCCGCTTGACAATAGCCCAGTATTTCTCAATTGGGCGGAGCTCTGGCGTGTTGGGAGGGTTCTTGTCCTTGGGAACCACCTGCACGTTGTTGGCGGCGTACCACTCCATGGCCTTTTTACCGTAATGACAAGATGCCAAATCCGGCCAAAACAGTACGGAACAACCGTGTTTCTTCAGGAAAGGCAGCAGACGTTTATTCAAACACTCTTTCACGTAAATTTCTTGGTTGACAGTCCCGGAAGCTATGAAAATGCTGCTTTTCAAGCCACAGGTACAGATGGCTTGCCAAACCAGATATTTCTTTGCGAACTTTGACAGTTTCATGTGCTTGAAAACATCTGCTACCTTTCCCCTTCCTTTTGCCGTATAAAACTCCTGTCCCGGAAGCTGCTTGTAGTCGGCTTTGACGTAGGTTTCGTCGTCCATTACCACGCAGTCAAACTTCGTCAGCATCGTCGTGTACAGCCTCCGGGATCGCGCTTTGGCCGTCGTATTTTGTTTATCATCGCGATTTGGAGTCACTACCTTCTTGTAAGTCGATAGTCCGGCTCGTTTTTTGGCTCGATGCACGGTTGTAGACGATACACCCAGCTTATTTGCGGCATCTCGGAGAGAGAGGTTAGGGTTTCGCTTGAAACTACCGGCAACTCTCTTTGTCGTCTCAGCGGCTTCCGGTTTTCGATTTCCCCCCGATCCAGACTTCCTGGCTGTCGACAAACGTTCCCCAAACACTTTAATTACATTTGTAACGGTTGATTTGGCAACTTTTAGCGATTTTGCCAACTTTGCGAGTAGCTCGGATTTTCGCGATGCGCGAGCAAAATTTTGATACGCTGCTCTTCTTGCTTCGACGGCATTTTGACAACTGAAGAGTGAATTCCAAAATCAAAATAGGAGCAACATTCTACACACACACACCTTCAAAATGAGGGGTGTTCAGGTTTTTTAAATGCAAAATTGAAAGAAATACGTCAAGTTGATATTGACCAAATTTTGACCGTATCACCCTTTAAGTCTCATCATCCATGATGAGACAATGAGGCTTCGTCAGCATCTGGGTGTATAGTTTCCGGGCCCGTGACTTTCCCACCGTATTTTGCCGTTCGTCACGATTTGGAGCCTTCTGCACTTTGTAAGTATGCAGTCCCTCCCGGACCTTGGCTATCTGAACGAAAGACTTGGATTTTTTCGCCACATCCCTGACCGAAGCATTGGGATTTCACTTAAACGCTTTCACGACACGATTGTGTAGGGTTACCATATCAAAAACTTGAAAAGGAGGACATTTCATATGAGGTTTGGAGATAAAGGAGGACAATGAGTTTTTATCAAACATTTTAATAATATGTGCGCTATCATGAATTCATGATTTGCAAAGGTTTAATTGAGATTCTTCATAACTTGTAGTCGATACCAATTCAATTTGCATCAAACTAGCCTTCATTATTCATTTTTGATACTTGGAAATGATCTAGTCTACACAGCAAAAAAATAATTTTAATACTACATCCAAGAGGATGCACTTCAAACATGTTGAAAATCTCATGTAATTTTTATGGCCACACAAATAAACAAATGCAGTAAAAGCAACGTAATGTCAGCTCATGCACTTTTTGGCAAGTAATATTACATCATATTTTCGAAACGATTGAAGTGCATCCACTTTGATGTGATATTAAAATTATTTTTTTGCTGTGTAGCTGATTTGCATGAAAACTACAGTTTTACAGCCTTAAAATCATCCCAACTTTTATCATGTTCAAAAATCAGGATACATGCCATCGCTGATTGAAACCAACATGAAATATCTAAGCAACCTGTTAATTTTACCATTGATTCAGCGTAGGACTCTAAAGTCGCTGCCATAGTGAGAGCGAAGAGGCGCACTTAGCGTTCTATACACAAGAGTTCCTATTATTGATATTATTCCTCACATTCGATTTCACGATTCGCGTGCCTCTTCGCTCTCAGTATGGTAGTGGCCTAAACAAGTCAAGCGTAACTATTCAAATCGACGTATCTGCTTTTGTAAACAATCTCTTCAATCGACGATTTGTCTTAACTGCTAACTCACCCACGCAACACCATCTTCAGGTAGGAGACACTTTCGCCGCCTAGCTGGTGTTGTTAGTTTCTATGAGTGAGCTTGCAGTTGCCACAAATCGCCGATTAAAGTGATTGTTTAGAAAATCAGACACGTCGATTTGAATAGTTATGCTTGTAATACGTAAAATCCCATAGAACCAGAACTTCAAAATCTAACACATGTTTGATTCAATCTGTGTGGCTGTGCTCCATTTGGTGATATTCTAATAAACCTGCTATTGTACCAGTCTTAATTCTGACAGCCCAGGAATCAATTTTAACATACATCTCGAAAATCACACGATCAACAACAAAGATATTTCGAACATTATAATCTATTTTCGAAGTGTCAAATTTATGTAAAAATTCATAAAAATGGAACACAGCCTAAGACATTTGATGAATGTTCACTGAACTTCGAAAATAAATTATACTGTTCGAAAATCACTCTGTTGTTGATCATCCGATTTTTGAGAAATTGTTTGTCAAAATTGATCTCTGGTTTATCTGAAATAAGTCTGGTAGAACGGCAAGATAATTTGAAAATTTTCCACCTGTCAAATATAAGTAAAAATTCACCAAATGGATCGCTGTCTAAATGAAGGGGGTTGACAGCTGTAGTATACTCCTAGTCTCACCATCGAATGGCATTTGCTAGATAAGATGAAGTTGCGACATAATTAAACAAATAAGCTCTGCAAACAACGCTCTTTGAAAACAATGTTATGGATGTGTTACTTTTTTTTTAAATTATAGTCACATTAACACTCTTGGGTCACTCGTGACTTGTCCGGGGTGATATTTGAACTCGTGACTTTAGCGTGAGAGGTATGTATGTTAACCACTACGCCGGGGTCGCCCCCAATGTGTTACTTAAAAAAATGTAAGGTTTAAAAATTTTGGGCAAAAGGAGGATGTAGAAAAAATATTGAAAAAGGAGGACATGTCCTCCTTTAGGATACCATATGGTAACCCTACCGCTTATGATCCTGATCACTAATAGAACATCCATTCTGACCGCATTTCTCCTTCTGTTCAATGCTCAGAGTTTCGTAGTAACGTTTAATCACATTGACTGTACGATTCCGAGTTGTTTTTCCGATGTCCCGATGAGAGAGTTGAGGATTTTCCAGTTGCATGGGCAAAATCAATTCGCGACGTTGCTTTTCGGGTAACGCCATTTCTTCCAACTTTCGAAAAACTGACAGCAATAAAAACACAGTGTAAACAATACACTCTTAACTACTTCTACCCAAATTTTCAAGAGAAAATACCCAATGAGTTATTTTCTACAGCATTTTTTCCGTGATGAAATTTGATGTGGGACACCCTTTATACGGCATAAATAGATGCATTCCCCAATCCTGTAACTGTTTGATGATGTTCGGTGTCCAGGTACGATTGTAGGCCTTCGACAGGTCGAGTGTTGCGATTTCTGTGTGTTCCCCTCGCTCTTTGGCGTCATTTAGTAGCTGTCCCAATGTGGCGAAGTAGGTTCCTGTTCCATGACCGGGACGGAAGGCGTGCTGCTGATGGTCAAGGTGGCCGTGGTCCTCCAAGAATTGAATCAGTCTCCGATTTACCGTTCTTTCCATGATTTTACTGGTGCAACATGTTAAGGAAATTGGTCTGTAGCTGCTGGGGTCGACTGGATTGCAACCGCTTTTGGGAATTGGCACCACTAGGCTGTGGTTCCATTCTTTAGATAAGGATTCGTTGAGCCAGATCTTGTTAAGAAGGTGCAGAAA